CTGGGTGGGGATTTGGGGAAGGAGTCCAATAGAGGCAGGAAGGGGGCAGAGTTGGGGTGGGGGCTTTGGGGAAGGGGTTGGAATGGGGGCAGGCAGGGGCAGGGCATGGGTGGAGTTGGGGCGGGGCCAGCAGGTCACGAGCTCCCACGGGTGCCGGGAAAAGTTGGCGCCTATGTGCCCAATAGAAAGATCTGAGTCATACAGACAGCATGAGCTGTAAAGGACACAGGACTGCTGTCTAAGTGCCCAGATGTCCTTATGTAGGACCCCCACGTACTGGCCGCCACTTCCAGCAGCTCCCATTGGCCTGGAGCAACGAACCGCGGCCAGTGGGAGCCATGATCGGCCGGACCTGCGGACGTGGCAGGTAAACAAACCGGCCCGGCCCGCCAGGGGCTTTCCCTACACAAGCGGCGTCCCAAGTTTGGGAAACACTGCTCTAATTAGTAAGAGTGGATTCTTTACCCTCTGGAGCCCACTGCATGCCTGTCTTATACACATCATACATATGGGGTCATTTATCATCAGAGCCAGGCAAAATGTTTGCACTGGGAGCAGGTGACTGACGGCTGCTTACAGGCTTGATGAAAAGGCAAAATTCAGCCCAGTTTCATCAAAAGGGTCAGGGCAAACATTTCAAGGGCTGGTTAGAGGTTTCATGTCAAATCCAGGTGAAACTTCATGGTTCTGGCTCAATGTGCTTTGAGTAGGTGTGTTCACTTATACCCAAAACTGCGCGGCTTGAACCAAAAGCAAATATTACACCACAGGTGCAATGCGAAAGATAGAATCTTAGTTATATGAAACTCTTATCAATTTAATCTAAGCGTGGGAATAAAAATGTCTACTTTTCCCTTAAATCTGATCCTAGATTGTGACTTTTCCCCCCACCCTCCTTATGAGTTCCTTCAGCCTGCCCTCTGACTCTGTAGTAGGTTACGGCAAGCCCTCCTTTTCTTGTATGTGCTTTGGTACACAATGCATCAAACACTGGTTAAAAATTAGTCGTGCAACTTGGAATGGCCTTTGAGTCCAAAAGAAAGGTCTGTCAGACAGGCAGACAGAGATGCATTTATAGAAAATCATCCTCCATATGGAATGCTTATCTAGTCTGTAACTTGGATCTGCAAAACCTTTTGATCCAACCCCACACTCTCCTGGTGACCTCCCTGACGAGCTTGAGAGAGAAACTTGCCTACCCGCTAATCCTTTGGGAGATTTTCTTTCTTGCCTTCAATGCCCCAACACAGGGAGTGAGTAGGAATGGGTTAGGGTTTGGTTCAGAGGGGATGAAGAGCATGAGGAAAAGGATAAAGATTTAGACTTGTGGTTGGGTAGAAACAGCAGAGGAATTGGGAAGAAGCAATAAACCAGAAACCACAGGACATATATGAAGGGGATAAAGGCCTTTACCAAATCATTCAGATTCACTTAAGGGCATGAGGAAAAAAAATTGTGCCCGTGTTCTTTTCTTTTCTTAAAGCAGCAGTTCTCCCAGCCTCATTCATTATTAGGTTTGTAAAATGCATTAGTCACTGTGGAATAGGCTCCATTACTCAGAGGATTAAAGTTTTCCTGAAGTAATGGGAAAAGTAACCTAGAATAGCTTTTAGGGGACCCAGGTCTAGGATTTTGGTCTCTGTGTAAACTTCAGGAAATATCATCACTTCCTAGAGCAGATTTGATTTGATGCCCACTTTCTGCTGGGTCAAATATGCTTTCGACAGCAAAAGTGCTTTAATTTTCTCAAGGAAGGAAACTGTGCTATCCAAACCAATTACAGGATACAGGATTCAATCCTCCTAGAAAAGTAGTTAAATAGTTTAAAGTTTCTGTCTGGGGCAGCACAGCCTTCTATAGAGTACAGGGCTTCCTGCAGAGGAGCAAAAGTCTCTCTGATTGGCAGCCAAAGCCCCTGAATCTGCTGCTGATGCTGCATGTCCTATATCATCTCATAAGAGCAGAAACTGCAAACTGAGCAAGTGTCACCACGAAGGGATGTTTGTAATTGTTCACCGGGAAGGGTCTGAAGAAATTAATTGTATATAGGCTGTGTAAGGGCTAGAAGTTGAAGTTAACCCATTTCAGTAACCCGCTCATGGCTTCCAAATTAAAACCCCAGCTCTGAACAAATCCAAATTTGAATCCAAGTCTGAACACTGTGGCTGATCCCCAAATCAAAACATCCCCAAATCATATGGACGTTCAAATGCAGATCTGGATGGGCACTTTGCAGCACTCTATATTGTTAGTGCCCTATTAAAAATCTCCTGAATGAGACATATTGCACCAACTCCTGGCCAGAATATGTTATCAGGGACAGTAGAGAACAGGGTCATTTTTTAAAAAGTGACTTTCACATCGTACTACAGGAATCTCAGGAGACTTTACAAGGCGATGAGTCAGATACTGACAGACTGAGACTGTGTAAGCAAATGTAATGACTATGTAGGCTAGGATACAATGACATGGCTGGGCGTCATGGGTAGATGAATTTGTCTTCACATCAAGGGTCAATATGAACCTCCAGTGGTAGTGAACTAGAAGAAATGCAAACTGAATTATTCATAGAAATGTTGAAGTCCAATCAATGACTGTCAAGTAACATTACCTGGCAGGAAAATCTGTCATGAAGAGCTCTGGGACCAGCTCTTGTAGAGGAACTGGGATGTTAGGATGACTAGGACATGTGATACAATCCAGTTCTATAGCAGTCAGAACACAATCCTCCATGTTAAAGTACTGCTCATCTTCCGGTTTATCTGGTGGCTCATTCTCCTGTGTCCTAGAAGTTGCACAGATGTGGCATGGGACATACTGTTCCATTAGCAAAGTCCCATCACTCTCCGTGGCCGTCAGTGCTAAAAATGTTAAAAAAGTGATATTGAACCGCAATGTCCAGTACATTCAAATGTTTACCTCTTCTGCATGAAATCAGTGCTTGAGAAGTCCCATGTAAGTCTCATGTAATTCCTCACTTGACTCCCACTCTTTCAAAACTGGTGATAGTGGCTCCTCTAGTTTACCAACTGTGATAAAAAGTAGCTATTTGCCAAATACACAAAGGCAGCAAGGGCAGGGCTGGATAGATACATACTCCAGATTGTTGAGATAACTCAAGAGGCCTGGCAGTTTTTCATTTAGGTATCAGGAATAAGTAACATGCAGGGCGTGCAAGTAATACATTTTCAGCACAATAGAAATTTAAAAGTTCATGGATAGGAAAAGCCTTCTTATGACGCAATTCTCCATGGCTTTAGTTAGCTACACTTCAGAAAGATGGAGTCCATTGCAATGAATAGAAAGGCACAAGTATGTCTGTCCCTTTAAAACAGACAGGGAGAGAAAATTGGCAGAGCTCCTTCCTCTTTCTGACACTGCTTTAGCCCGAATCAAGCAGACAAGGAATCAGAGACACAGCACCCGGGGGTCATGGGCCAAAGTGGTCTTTCGTTTGACAGAATCTATTGTAAATGTTACTTTAGAGCGGGGATTCTGAACCTGTGAGTTAGAGGGATGTGACCAGTCACAATCTGAGGCAGTGATACTCAGACCTCAGTGGTTCGGGAGCCAAATTAGCAATCAACATTATCCAAAAGAGCCACAGGAATGTGAAGTCATCGTTTCATTTGCTATATTATTATATATTCCTATTTAAACAGCATGACAGGGGAAATTTTTAGTATATATAGTTCTGTGGCTACCAGTGTGAAAAGGAATGATAATAATTCCTCCTTAGACAACTAGAGGCACAGGACAGGGACACTAGACATGTGCAATGTAAGTTTTAGAAATGGGTCAACGAGTCTTGCTGGATGGACTATTGGTTTGTCTTTTTACCCACATGGCCCATTGGCTGGCATCTTCCGCTTGTATCTATATTGCTAATCATCACTCCATGTCCGAATATGCTTCTTTGGGATTACGGCTCTGCTCAGTCTTCAGTGATTAAAAAAAATACCAATCCAAACTCAAATGAAAGTCTTATTTTTTTTCCTTTTCAGAGTGATCTCAGCTAAATTAGAAAAGCAGAGTGGATATAGGACAGCTCGCAGCACTATTTTCTGATGAAGATCTCAGATCAATACATGCCAACACTTATCTCTAAAGCAGCATGTGGTGACCTGGAATACAGCACATCGTTTTATAATCAAAATCTATTTGTGGATTACAAACATCACTTGGGGAGACTGTGGGCCTGATTCTGATTTCCCTTATGGTGTAAATCAGGAGTAATGCCATTAAAGTCAATAGAGTTACACTACTATAAAACTAGCACAAAGGGCTCAGACACACTGATTTAACTTACCTAAGCAGTATGGACCTGACGCTGCTTCCACTAAATTCAATGGAGGATCTGGTCACTGACTTCTGCAGGAGCAAGTTTGGACCCTGATTGCACCATAACATCTAATTTGTGTTTGCTTTTAGGATTTTGAGGGATTGGTCGCTCTGGATACAATGCTCACACCACGTGGTATCAGTAAAGATTTGTATTATATTGCATTGAATCTGCTGTTGCCTCTAGATTGTAAAATCCTTGGAGCAGGGACCTATTCTGAGGGTTTTTAGCACTCTACATCTATTGCGTAACATTGGGCACACTGACAGCACCATCAAGGAATAATTTCCAAAAAAGAGTGTTGAGATATAACAAGAAAGATGTGGAGAAATTGGAAAGGGTCCAGAGAAGAACAACAAGAATGATTAAAGGTCTTGAGAACATGACCTATGAAGGAAGGTTGAAAGAATTGGGTTTGTTTAGTTTGGAAAAGAGAAGACTGAGAGGGGACATGATAGCAGTTTTCAGGTATCTAAAAGGGTGTCATAAGGAGGAGGGAGAAAACTTGTTCACCTTAGCCTCTAAGGATAGAACAAGAAGCAATGGGCTTAAACTGCAGCAAGGGAGGTCTAGGTTGGACATTAGGAAAAAGTTCCTGTCAGGGTGGTTAAACACTGGAATAAATTGCCTAGGGAGGTTGTGGAATCTCCATCTCTGGAGATATTTAAGAGTAGGTTAGTAATATGTTTGTCATGCAAGTTCTACAGGAAGTTCGGTAATAAAAAGAGCGAAAAGCAATACACT